AGAGGTGTGTGTGTGTGTGTGAGAGAGAGAGAGAGAGGGAGAGAGAGAAAGAGGCGCAAGAGGTGTGTGTGTGTGTGTGTGTGTGTGTGTGTGAGAGAGAGAGGCGCAAGGGGTGTGTGTGTGTGAGAGAGAGAGAGAGAGATGTGTACGAACGCGGCCGCGTGGATGGCGTTCACACATGCGAACGTGCACTCACATTCATGAATGCGTGAACGCGATTTATTGCTGCTTCGTTCATTGTTGTGAACGAAGCATTCGCTGCATCAGCGCGACGAAGAACAAGGTTTGAAGCTGCAGACACGTGACGAGGCGCGGACACCGATGGCGATGGAGACGACATCGACAGGACAAGTGGGCAAAGGCAGTTGGCAGTCGCCTGATCCCGTTCATGAATGGGAACGGATGTTCACAATCGTGAACTGCGGTGAACACAGTGAAAGGCGGGTCAATGAAGACGAGAAGCGGAATGCAAACGTGAAGTGTTGTATTGTTAAATACACCGCAAAGGGCCAGCTGGCTGAGGGATGCAAAGGGAATTACAAAACGAGGTGTTGGTCGAGGGGAGTTTGTCTAGACGGGCTGGGCACTTTACCCTCAAGGGGCGGTGACAGAGAGCGAGCAGTGAGGTGTTGGCTAATGTTTGGAATAACACACGGTGCAAGTTCGGCGGCCAGTGAGAGAGGAGTGTGCTAGAGATCATGCAATTTCGAGGCATTTGTAATTGACGAGACGTCGAGGCGGCAATGCTTGTGGACGGCGTGCAGGAGGCATTGGATCAGGAGGGGGAGGAGGAGCAGTACATGAAAGGCGATAACGATGGATGTCCTCACAACAAGGCCGCCTCTGTGCTTTTGGACGACAAGGATGAGGAGGAGTTGGGAGGAGGGTTGGGGGCGTCTTTGGAGGGGGGACTGATCAGAGACGGTTGTGCTGGTCGAGAGGCTGGGGCCTGTGCCATGATGGCTGCCGTGAAGAGGAAGGGGGGCGATGGGATTGGCGCAGCGACGGCGACTGCGAAAAGGATGAGGCAGATTAGGATGGATGAGACATAAAAACCTTGGGTTGCCCAATCATGAGATTCTGCTATCCTTTCTAAGAACCAAGTTGTTCATCCCAGCCTAGCAGGTGCCATATCCAACTACTGCTTGCATCACGTTAGTAACCGAGCGGCCTCACCGGATGTGGTCTACACTATGCCACAACACCATGGTCAACCAACTTAGTCTATTGGGTGCCCATACCATCATGCTTCCCCTTGCCTCGATATAGCTGAGCAAACATGTTCATTCAACCCAACTTGGCAGGCGTCGGACACAGCCACTGTTTCCCCCACTTTCGCAACTGAGGGACCTTACAGGGTATGGTCTAACCTATGCCACAGCACCATGGTAGGCAAATTTAGTCGGTCGGGTAACCTTACCATTATGCCCTCCCTTGCCTTGATATAGTTGAGCAGATATGTTCACTCAACCCAACCTAACCAGTGCCACACCCAGCCACTATTTGCACCATGCTCACAATTGAGTGGCCTTACAGGATATAGTGTAATCCTATGCCACAACAACATCGTCAACCAATTTAGTCGACCAGGTGACCTTTGATTGTTCATGACCATTTCATTTGACGTTCACAAGTCCTAAGGAGGTCGAGTCGGACATTCTAAATGAAGAGACAATTTTCCATGTATATTGATAATTTTAGAGAATGTGGTGAGTTCTTATCCATTACCACTTTTCTTAGGTATATTGATAATTTTGGACAATGTGGTAATTAAAATCCTTATTCGTCCCTCATTCATCACGGGTAGAGTGTCTGGCTCAACCTTGTTAGGAGTTAGCGAACATCAACATCAACAAAACGGTTAGCAAGTTCAAGTTCTACTGTTCTACACAACGAACAGGACAAAACACTATGATGATCCAAGATCCGAACCCCATAACTTTTCTCACTAATCTTCTCTTGAGCAAACTGTTTTATGAGCTCCCTTTTGAGCTTGATCGAATTATCCATGATTTTGAGTATTTGCATCACTTTGTAATCTGTTGTAAGACATGATCATTTCAAATTTGCATGCATGTTCATTAATTCCTAAGCAGGCTGAGCCTGATACTCTACCCATGATGAATTCGAATGATGGGACTATTTTCTCAAGTATATTGATAACTATACAGAATATGGTGAGTCCAAACCCATGGCTACTTTTCTCGAGTATATTGACAACTTTGGATAATGTGGTAATTCCTTATCCATCAAATTCATCATGGACACAGTGTCAACCTCAACGGTTACATCCTTGGACATTTGTGAACATCAAACGAAATGGTCAGGAAGAGTATAACCTGTGTAGCACACCGAACATGTTCGGAGCTTTTTCGAACGTCCGAACATATTCGGGTGTTCGGCTGAACGCCTCCCGAACGTGTTCGGCCGAACATAGTAAAAAAAAAAAAAAAAAAAATTGTTTTTTGATTTTTAACTCGAGTTTGGTTACGAATTGGAGCATACCTCCCAGGCAAAAGTTGTTTGTATTATTATTTTACATAACATATATTTGTTTCAGATTTTTCTGATAACGTTTTTTGGTTCTTGTTTTTTTAATATTTTTATGTTCGCGTTCGAAGGGTTTTGGTGCTCGTTCGCGTTCGGTGCGAACGTTCGGGTTTGGTCACAGAACCTGAACACGATGCTACACAGAGTATAAAGAGTATTATTAAACAATGAAGATGACAAAATGCTATGATGATCCAAGTTCCAGACCACACAACTTTCCATGCCCTCTTTTCGTTGGCAACTTGTTTTATAAGTGTTTTTATTAGCTTGGTCGGACTATCCACAACTTTCGGTTTTTTTACATCATTTTCATCATTTTTTGTAAACAAAATTTGCACGTGTTTCATTTTTTTGAAACTCTTGTGCATTTTATTTTGGTTTTTTGCTAGGTTGTTTTTTTTTGGGCGCCCGGGTACCCAACCTGTGCCCAAATACATGCCCGGGTGCCCGGTCGGGCATGACCCCCGGGCAAGGTTCCGGGCAGCCCCAGCGCAAAAAACAAACAAAAAAAAATGATAGTAAAAAAATTCCAGAAAAAAAAATGTTATGTAGAATTGCAATACAAACAACTTTTGGTTGACGGTCACTTCAGAATTCCTCACCGAATCGAAGATAAAAAAGAAAACACCAAAATCACACTAAGGCACCCACCTTTAAGCC